TATATATATATATATATATATATATATATATATATATATATATATATATATATATATATATATATATATAAGGGAAATCAGTAGTAAAAATACATATTATGGTTAAGAGGTAACTAACAATCATAAAATGACACATGTCCATTTATTTAAATTACGAAATTTGAAATAATTTGTCTATTTGGCCCCTAAATCTATGGTGTTATTGGTATTAATGATAGAATTCTTGGTATTAATGATGTAACTTATTCTTGATTATTATGAATACAGACACTTACTTGTTTAAGTAACCGTCTAATTCTTGAAATTAATTCCTAAAATTTACTAGAATTCATGGTGTTAATCATAACGTAACTTCCATTAATTCTTGAGATTAGAATTACTTTCATTAATCTTCAAGATGGTAACTGTTGCCTCCTAGGAATCTCTCATCCAAGTATACATTGATTCCTATCCGGACAAATATAAGAAATGTCTCTTAAAACGATTGAAGAACAAAAAAGTACATTGTTTGGGCTCATATAAATAACATTGATTCCTAAAAATACAACAGACACATAGTATCTAACCGAAAACAATCGTAAAACATAAATTAATAATTAATTATTATCTTTAGATCCAACAAAGTTTCTTAATAAATTGCTAGAATTTTTGGAAACAGGAAAACGCATTTAGTCCTGAGTTTCAAAACATCTGGTTGACTGGTTCTCTCCTTCACGCCTCTCTTGGTGTTAGTTTTTTTTTTATTTTTAATTTTTTTAATTTCTTCCGTGAGTTTTATACTTTGTAATTTAAATTTTGTTTTCATCCAACATTTAATTAAAACCTTTATTATTCATTATTACTGAATGATTATAATCATTATATTAAGCATTGAAAGTCATAAAAATAGATAAGTAATTATTTCCTATTTATCGAATGGTAGTAGAAAAACAAAATCTGAGAAAACCGACTGGAAGTTAGTTATATGTTCTTGCAGCCTTTAATCTCTTTTTAGAATAATATAAACAAGTTAATATAGATTGTATAGTTACGGCCAATCGTAACGTAATTTTATTTGAATATGGGATTCAAAACTTTCAAAGTCATTGGTTCATTGGAATTTAATGTAACTTTTAGAGTTTTTTGATTTTAGGATATCCAACATAAAGGTTCAATACATATCGATTGAAGGCAAACGGGCAACAACCTGCACCGTTAGTCATTTCTGAATTGCAAAACCAATTTTTTTGAAAACAACATTTATGGATTTAAGAGATATGATATTAAAATGTATGACGCATTGGATAAATATGTTTAAAGAACATTATTAATCAATTTTAGTGGTTACATTGGATTGTAACCGTTTATGTTTTGGATTCTGGGTATTCAATATTTGATGTAGGTTTTCATACCTATAATTAAGAGTTTACGATTTGGATCATGGGTATTCAATATTTTGAAAATTTAGTGATTAATTTTGATTGTAACAGTGGACGTAATTATATTTAATATTTAGTGATTAATTTTGATTGTAACAGTGGACGTAATTATTTTGAATATTTAGTGATTAATTTTGATTGTAACAGTAGACGTAATTAACAGACCAACATGTAAATTACCACAAAATTTGTGTATCTTTGATTTGTTGGCATGTTTTCATTGGTTTCTAGTACCTAATTATGCATCTCTCTCTTTCTCTATCTATCTATCTATATATATATATATATATATATATATATATATATATATATATATATATATATATATATATATGAAAAGTGAATATACCCTTAAGGGTATATAAGCTTAGGTATCCAAACTCATTATACTACGTCGTTTTGTATGGAAAATGCATAATTAGGTACTAGGAACCAATGAAAACATGCCAAAAAATCAAACCCATGTACTTCTTTCTTTGGTTAGGTAATCCAACAACTAGGGGGAGAGAATGGCAACAAAAGATTGAAATTGGGAAATGTTTGTTTTTCTTTGTTTGTTAGGAAAGGTATCTTTTGTTGCCATTCTCTCCCCCCTCGTTTGTTAGGAAAGGAAAAGCACGAAAATGGGGTTGTTGGCCATTTAAACAGAAGGGAGAAAGGAAGCAGCAAAACAACAAGTTTGAGGGAGACAAAGGTCTCGATTCTTGACTGATCAAAGGAAGAGGAAGTTACTGGAAGCATCCATGGCCAACATGTGATCTTCTTCTTCGTCTTATTTTGATTTGAATCCATGTAAATTTGGATGTTTGGGTTTTCCTGAAAAAATTTATGATAATGGATGGGATATAACTCATGGTTGTTTGGGTTTGTTTCTTGAATTCAAGAAACTGAATTGGTAAGACTTCCATTAATTTTTTTTGAAGAAGCACACCACATGTTCGATAAAATGCATCGTTGAAATCTAGGTATTTGTAACTGGAAAACAACAGATTGTTTATGTGATGTAGTAACTTGTTCTTAACTGTAGAAATTATTTACCTCAATCCTGAAAATAAATTTTACATCCAATTGCTTTTTGATCTTGAATTCCTTGTCAACTTAAGAAGTGAATTACCGTAACCAATTCTGTGAAGTTAGAATATACACCATTCTTTTTATTCTAAACCCACATCCCTTTTTATCATAATGTGGTTGTGTGTGTTGTGTTTATTTTTCAGATGCTAAGTGTTTTATTAGTAGGACTCGATGTTTTGTTCCTTGGGTATATTTTTGATAATACAAATTCTTTAAGAATATTCAAAACCATTCAGCAAGAATAGTTTATTCTATAAGAATATTATTGATGTATTCTAATAGAATTGTAGTTAATTAGTTATATGTTTAATATGCAGTTGTTATCACTATAAAATATTTGGCAATGAATTTGTGATAGAAATGGCTTGAAGACCTGATGGGAAAGACTTTTTTTATAAAATTATTCTCATGCAATACAATTCTGACATAATGCCGATATCATAAAATGTCAATCTCATAGAATGCTAGCATATTTTGAAGTGGCTTAGAGGTCAAACATACACAAGACATCTAAAAACGAAACAAGAAAGTGAATGAGGATTCTTTCAAGAATACCGATATTTTTTTTTGCAAGAGATTTCAAGAATGAATGTAGTTTATGTTCATAGTTGTATTCTTTAAGAATGAATGTAATTACCTATTCTAAACTATTAAACTTCGCCTTATATAAAATTTGTATTCATTAAAAGTTATTGGTGTTGATAATATGTTTTTATAATATTATGTTCATAGTTGTATACCATTCTGACAGAATTACAGAATATCATTCTAAGAAAATAACATTCTGATAGAATAAAATCGGTACGTTTCAAATTGAATTAATTTGAAAAAAAAAAAATATGATTTTTTAGATCAAAATCATTAATTATCACATAAATCTTGATTTTTCCTTTTTTAAATTTGTCTCAGTTGACTACAGTGCCCTTATGCTAAAATTTGTATACTTATATGGTACATGTTACCCTATTATACTATCATAGACCCTTGAGATCATGACCTTTGACTATTTTCCATCCGATGGTCCAGATCTGTGCATTCTGGCAATTAATAGTTAATAGAAACAAAATAACATATATATATATATATATATATATATATATATATATATATATATATATATATATATATATATATATATATATATATATATATATATATGATTTGTTAACATGTTTTGATTGGTTCCTAACATATATATTGTTGCTCTAACTACACCTCCGTAAATTACACAAATGATCCCTATGGTTTGGGTAATTTGCGCGTTTGGTTCCTAACCTTTTTTTTTTTTAAAAAAAACTTGAAAGGTCCATACTTTTTGTTTTTGTTACACGTTTGGTCTCTATGTTACCTAAAAGGACTATTATACCCTTACTTAAATATATCAAAATAGTCCTTTTAGGTAAGATAAGATGCGGTGGGGGTGGGGTTTAGGGTGTATTTATTTAAATAAATTAAAAATCAATGACAAAATATTTTTTTTAGATAAGACACAATAAAAACAAACAGTAGGGATATTCCGAGTTAAAAAAATAAGTTCGGGACCAAACATGAAGATTATCCCAAACCATAGGAACGATTCGTGTAACTTACTCTCCCTCTCTCTCTCTCTCTCTTTATATATATATATATATATATATATATATATATATATATATATATATATATATAGACACACACACACACACACTAGATGTGTGCCCGTGCAAAGTGGCGTCGATAAATAGCTCTTTTGGAAAATAGTTTCTTATGGGGAAATTATTATTAGATTTTATTATTAGTTATTATGTAATAAAAAATATCACTTTTAAATAAAATATTTATATTTATACTTTATATTTATATTGGTTGTTCATAGTATTATGTAAGTTAATTAATATTGATGTCTAGTTTAAGAAATATAAATAAATTTGTATACATGGATTTAATATTCTAAAATTTTCATTTTGGAGAAATTAAATTGTCTCCTACCTTTTATGCATACCAATATTCCTACCCACTAACATTATGACACGTGTCATCATTTCACCATTTAGTTTAATTTGATTTGATATATTCCTAATGTACTTTTAATGGGATAGTTAAGTAAATTTGGAATTGGAACACATTTCATCATTTCAATAGGTATAAACATTTGTAGGCATAAAAGGTAGGAGAAAATTTATTTTCTCGTTCATTTTGCTTCAAATTGAATGTTTTTTAATAACTTTTCTTAATTCAAGTTTTTAAACTTTTGACAAGTATTAATGATTTATTTATGCATAATTGATTTGTATAAAAAGCTTTTTAACTTATACATCTTAAAATTTAAGATATAACTAATATGGTTTATAATATAGTATTATATAATTTGATTCTCATTTGAAATTAGAATAGCAAAATAATATGATTAGGTAAAATTATTATTATTTTTGTTAGTGATAAAACAATAAAATATAGAAATCTAAATAAATACTTTGAGAAAATAATTAAAGATTATTTTTTCAGAAAAAATACAATTTAGTTGAAAACCTGAGGTATTATCCAATGACAACTGAACCTCTTGTCCTTGATTAAGAAGTTGAACATGCTGATTTCCCCAAGTTATCTTATAATTCTCATCAAAGGTAGCATTCTTTGCTGCATCACTAACTCTAAACAAGAAAATTACTTTAGACAAAGCGACCACCAACTTCGTTATCATCCATAGATGAAGACCCATTTTATCGTTGCAAATAAACTGTGATTATTGCTAAAAAAAACCCGAACGAATTAGTTTGCTTGTGTGTAGGTATAAATATAATGTACAAAGACATCCAACAAATCAATATATGTTTGTGTGTAGGTTTTAAAATATGAATGTGGATATTTATACTTGATATTCTTTTTGCATTTTCTTTAAGATATTTGGTTTTAATATCCTTATGCCCACAATCCATAATATAGCTAGCTAATTACACCTACGTAAAATCATTTGTTTAATTGTAAATTTATATAATATTGACCTATAAATATTTCATTTCTCTTTTAAAAATGACATTAATATTAAATACTTATAATTACCAAATATATTTTTTTCTAATCCATTTTCTTTACATGGACCCAGGGCCGGTCCAACACGATTTGAGGCCCGGGGCAAAACAAAAAATTGAGGCCCCATACTATTTTTTTTTTTTTGGTAAATAAGTGCGGCATCTTGTGAAATTTTACTAAATTAAAATTTTAATACAACAACATTCGTTATGAGGTTACTACAACTACAGTTATTACAATAAACAAAGTTTGCAATTGCCAGAACATCTAAAAGATATACATACAACATGTATATAGACTTGCAAATTTTCAGTACAAAAAATTCCTAAATCATATTTGGTTAGATCCCAAATTAAGATTTAGTTGCATAATGCATAAATCTTGTTTATAAAGCACATAAAATTTGTATATAAAGCAGTGGTAATAATCAAAACAAACATTAGAATATTTTAATTAATAACAATAATATGAATAGTAAAGGAAGAAAAATTGCACAGGTTTTACGACATATTTTAACTTTGAGTTACTCTTGACTCCTCTTGAACCCATGTTGTGATGATGACGTTGGACCAACAATGGAATTTATTCATAGCAAAAGCAATAACAACTCTAAAAGGGAAAAACTATAAATAAAGTCAATTAACTCCAAATTTTAATAATAAAAACAAAATCTTCCAAAACTCAGTTTCAAATCACACAGTGAGATAGAGAGATGATATAAAGGAAACACCTTAAAGAGAAGATTCTGATAAAATCCAATATTCTACCAAATAACTCAGTTAACTCTAATAATTCAACTAATATAACTTCAAAACACCCTAAAAAGAACATCTAAAGGAAAACTATAATTAATTTAATGTATTGATTTTTATAAATCATAATCAGAAATCAATTTCTAATTTGAACAATTGAAATTCATAGGCATGATTACATGAAGAACAATGGCTTGAAAATCGATGGAAAGAGATGAAATGTAGATTTCAAAAATCACATAAGAATCGGCTTAAAGATTTGTCTCATCGTCTTCTCTTTTAGGCTCTAGAGGGAATTAGATTTAATAAGAAATTGAGCAGTCGTTTGCTTCTTGAAAATAGAGTCGTCGTTTCGGAGAAAGTACGAAACTACAAGATTAAAAATAAAAAATAAATAAATAAATAAATAAAAACTCTGGTTGGTAGTTGTTGGGCCCTTAGCCTTATAAGTAAAATTAAAAAAATAAATAAATAAGTTACGGTTAGTACTTGTTCAAGTTTTGGAACACAGGACAAAAGGTATATACACAACAAAGCTTTAGCCATGTCAACTACAAGTGGTTTTTGGTATTTTCACGGTATGATATGCCTTATATTATCTAAGTACTATATATATTAACCGTTATTCGAAGGGGCCCCGAGATTTGGTGAGGCCCGGGGCGGTCGCCCAGCTTGCCCTCCCTCTAGGGCCGGTCCTGCATGGACCGAAGATTAATTAACACATGCGTTTTCATTTGTTTCAATCAATAAAATTAATTATTATCCTTTTTCTTTAACATGTCCCATTTCATTTTATTCGTTATTTTAATATCAAACTTATTTATTTTGGCTATGTAAAAATAGGTTCCATTTCGCTTATGTGGCAACCCGTTTTGTAATAATAGGGATAGAAGATTTACAAGTAGCACATAAGGTAGTGATCTACAGTAACATATGAAGTAATTGATTTTTTACCGATAGGCCATAAGGTAGTTGATTTATTATTATTATTATTATTATTGTTATTGTTGTGGTTGTTGTTGTGATTATTATTATTTGAATATTTAAATAGTTGAATTTTATTCAAAACAACTAGCAAGGAACCAACAAAAGAAAATTAAAATTACAAAACATTACAAATAAAAGAGTTTTGTAGCAGTATAGTTCCGTTGAGATTACTTCTAGTATTTCTATTTGAAAGCCAATCAAATGCATAACAATCTTTTCGAAGACATTATTTGTATTCATTTTGAACGATTGGAACATCACATTGTTACGATATTACGATATGTCCAAATCATCCAAATACATATCACTATGGTCACCTCCGGTACCTCTCTCTTTGCACAAGTCAAGTTAATTGTATACGTCCATATCATAAGTTCAGATATTATTATCAAAATGGGAAAAATAAGTTTATTAATGAAAATAAAATTGTATGCATGCGTTGCGTTTGTCTTGATTATGTTTTAAGATACATATGCTTTTGTTTAATTTCAACAACACTACCAATGAAAAAAGCAAAAAGAAAACAAGAAACAAAAACAATTAAAAAGTTTATAGTTTGGTATTTTCAAAGTAAAAAACTGAACTTTTAGGTTCGGTTTTGTATTTTGAAGATTTGTTTTTTCTCAAAAATGATGTTTTTTAGAAAAGAAAATAAAAATTAAGTATGAACTGTTTCTCTTACACTTTTAGAAATATAAAACGTTTTTTCTAAAATTTAAAATAATGTACCACACATTATTAATTTATAATTTTTATGTAATAAGCCATTTACTAACTTTTTATTATATTTTTGAATATTGGGTTATTATAAAAAAAAGTTTGAAATAAAAATGGTTTTTGAGGATCTTGAATTTTTAAAAGGTCTATTTATTTTAACATACATGTTCCATGAATGTTGTTACTATGTTAGGTATAACCAATTAAGTTAGGCACATTGCTAGAAACTCAATAAAAATATCATTTCCACTTTTTATCTTATACTTCTCTATTTGTGGTTGATAATTTGGGGATATGGTAAATGTCATATTTAAGTTTCACACTCCATTAAATTCTTATATTTGAGGTGAGAAATCAAATACAAAGAATATAAATGTGAGATTCTATCTTTAATAATATTGTAACTGTAAAACTGATTATTTTTCCGTGTTATTAGAGGCCATTGAGTCTTTAAGTGTGGATCTGGATTGGTCCAGACGTATTTGATATTTGAGTTGTTAGCGTGTTCTAGACTAGTCTCCTAGGTAACATCATAGAAGAGAATCGTTAGACCCTTCCTAAGACATGAGCCCAGTGAACATGCTCCAACGATCAAGTTAAATGGTCTATACTTGGAAATAATTTCCCTAGGATGGAGAGAACCATTTTGTCTTAGAACTCTATGTGAGAGGTAGAGTCCAATACGAAGCTCTCTTAGGCATGTCCTATATATGGTGGATGAGGTATTTTATTTATAAGGCTAGAGGAACGGAAAACGAGGAGACAAGAAGAGGGGACAATGAGAGACAAAAAAGAGACCAAGGATGCTCTTATGCATTCTCTCATTGGATGGGGATATAACTTGGTCCCTATGGTTTACATAAATGGTTCCTATGGTTTACCAAAAATCATAAATTGAAGATGAAATTACATAAATGGTCCCTATGGTTTACCAAAAATCATAAATTCAGTCCATAGCAAAATCCCTCGAAAATTACCACCAAATGAAAAAGGGGTTGTTAATTAGAAAATAACAACATATGTATACGAGTTTATTGTTAGTTATTTGAGTTATGTTTCCATTTTTACCTACCAATAAGCAATTCATTCTTTCAATTAAAAATAAATCATAATAAAAACTTTGTAAATCGTCATAACCTTTTTCAAGAACTTTTCAATCTTAAAAGCCTTTTAAAATATGGGGTATTGTAATTATATCTTTAAAGTAAGTTGTAAAAAATTATATGAAATCTTAGGCATTATTGTAATTTTTTATAATGTTATCCTTCCTAATTTGTACATATTTTACGAAATGAAGGACCATAATCCTTGAATTTTATTTCTAGAGTTAGAAGATAGCTCATTAAATGTAATATATATTATTGCCCATCATTTTTCACTACACTCTGGACGAGGGGTAGGATACCTACTCTTATCGATACAATAGTCATATTTCATATACTTTTTTCTTACTTCTTCTAATGATTTCAGTTGTTGGGGGTTTAATTGCCAATATTTTGGATTGTTCCACCAATACTTTTGAGAAGCACAGTCCTTGTTAGGACTATTAGGCATCGAGATGCACCCATCAATGTTAAAATCTTGGAAATTAGCATGGAATGGTGCATTTGAATAATTGACCTTCGTTTTTCCACCATCAGTAGCCCAACTTGATCCATCCCAGAAGCTCGTAATCACTTGCAATGTATGAGTAGGGTACCCAACACCTCTAATTATGTTGTTCTTATATACTCTTATTGGTGTGTCATCTACAAAGAACCTGAAATGAATATAAAATGTAACCATTAGTATACATATTTATTTATAAAGTGATTGGTTTTCTTTTCTTGATCATTGGACACAATCAAGCTAACAAAACCTATAAAGTTTGATATCAATATGATGTATGTAATTTCCAATAAAATAAGATACACGCGTACACAACTTGATGGTCGTTCCATAGCAATTTTTAGTAATGGAAATCCGCACCAGGATCGAACCAAAGATTGATTTTTTGCTCTCTACCACCGAGACCATTTGTAAATACGTTCGTTTGTAAAATGACTGGTTTGCTGGCTGGCCGATTTCCCAAGAACTCAAAGTCCATTTCTTCGTGAACAGTTGTATTAAAAAATAACTACATTAACTTAACATAATAAGAAGCATACTATTAGATGCATAAATCATTGATCTTTAAGTGTTGTTAGATTGACAACCAGTTAGTTTTTATTTATTTACGATTTTAATCGTATTA